CACACCAGTACACACATGTACATACCAGTACACACCATTACACACCAGTACACACATGTACATACCAGTACACACATGTACACACCAGTACACACCAGTACACACCAGTACATACCAGTACATACCAGTACACACCAGTACACACATGTACATACCAGTACACACCAGTACACACCAGTACATACCAGTACACACATGTACATACCAGTACATACCAGTACACACCAGTACACACATGTACATACCAGTACACACCTGTACACACCAGTGCATACTTGTACACACCAGTACACACCAGTACACAGCTGTACACACCAGTACACACCATTACACACCAGTGCACACATGTACACACCAGTACACACCTGTACACACATGTACATACCAGTACACACCTGTACACACATGTACATACCAGTACACATCAGTACACACATGTACACACCAGTGCACACATGTACACACCAGTACACACCTGTACACACATGTACATACCAGTGCACACCAGTACACACCAGTACACACATGTACATACTGGTGTCTACACATGTGTTAAATGCACATTGGGGTTGATGATAATACTTTTGTACTTTTTCTTGAGTACTTTTACACTGTGGTATTAGTACTTTTACTGCAGTAAAGGACCTGACTACTCTGAATACTTCTACATGTAAATCATTAACTTTTGTATTAATACTAACTAGAGACAGAGTGTTACTGTCTCTTTAAATAATTAACCCCTGCTCCTCACTCTGTGTGCGCGTGTGGCATGATGGCCGCTGCTCGTGACTCTCCTCTGTTTCTGGGCTTTGACTTCAGCACCCAGCAGGTAAACTTACCACGTGCAGCCTGTTTACTCGGTGTACTTCTACACATTCCTTCATTTACTACTTGTGTATTTTACTGAAAGTGTGAAAGTAGTTACTTCTCTACTCGTGTACTGTGTGAGGTACTTTACTGTGTGTTTACATTCTGTACTACTTCTACTTTATCTGAGAGCTGTAGAATCCTACGACACCTGAATGCATCATTAGGACTAGATTCATAATATATAAAAGTATACTGTGAATACTGTGTACTGAGTGTACTTTTACTGCTGATACTTTATACACGAAGCTGATATACTTGTGTACATTTACTGCTGGTACTACATGAAGGTGGTAATACGTGTGACTTGTACCTCTGGTACTAGCTGAAGG